TTTTTTTGAGACAGGGTCTCCCTATAGCCTCAGCTGGCCTGGAACTCACATAGATCTGCCTGCCTCTGCCTCCTGAGTGCTGGGATCAAAGGCATGCACCACCACGCCCAGCACTAGTCCTTTTTTGTTTTGAGACAGAGTCACCATGTAGCCCAAGCTAGCCTTGGATTCTAATTCCTCCCACCTCAGTTTCCTGAGTGGTGGAATCACAGACCATGTGCCACCATGCCTAGTAGTATGGCTAATCTTGCTCTTTTTTCTTTTTTTTCAGGCGGTGTTTCAAGTAGCCCAGGCTGCCCTCAAACTTGCTAGCTAATGGAAGGATGATCTTAATCTCCTGATCCTACTGCCTCTATTCCTAGCTGGGATTATAGGCATGTGCCATCATGTCTGGTTTATGACTATTCTGTTAAGTGGAAATGTTCCTCTAGTTGAGCTCTATTTACTATGAGGCCAACAATAATACTTTTACTGAACATTCTTTATATGTCAGGTACTTTGCTTAGCATGTTACCTGTGATGTTTTTTTTAAAGCCTTTCTATATTCCTAAGAGGTAGAAACTGTTTTACAGATGATGAAACTGAGGCTTAACATAGCAAAGTAACCTAAGGTCTCAGAGCCCAAACAAGGGGGAACAGACTAGAATTCAGACTTGGCTCCACACTTTTAAAACTCCAGCTTCTTCCATCTGCTGCTCAACACCACTCTCCACTACCCTTCAGCAAGAACTCGAAACTCTCCTTTCTCTCACCACACAACTGGCACCCAGGGCCAGCAGCTCCCTACTTTGTTACACTACCCAAAATTCTCCTCTGTGGCCAAATCTTGAGCCAAGTCTCCTGGCAGTTCCAAGTCTAGATTTTCTTTGGCTCCACTTATGCTCACCTCTGCCTTCTCTCTATTCAACCACCTCTAAGTAAGGAACTTTCATAAGTTTAGTAATTCCATTGTGTCACAATGCAGGGCTGGGCACAAGCTTCTCTGATCACCTCAGAGGCCAGTGCCCTCACCTGTAACCAACCTCCTCAATTCTTTAGTGAACTTTTCCATTCAAAGAGGGTTTTCCTCCTGTAGGAAATTTTAGTAAAAAAAGGTGGTTAAAGGAAGGCAAGGCTCTGAAACTAGTAATATCTGCAGTTTTACTGAAGAGACATTTTGCAAATTCTGTTCTATTTCAGGCAGTCTGATGCTCCCTCTGGCCTCCGCTGCCATTGCACAGACATGCTTCCATACATCCAAACAAAACACTCATACACATAAAATAAGAAATCAGCCAGGCATGGTGGCGCACGCCTTTAATCCCAGCACTCGGGAGGCAGAGGCAGGCGGATCTCTGTGAGTTCGAGGCCAGCCTAGTCTACATAAGTTCCAGGACCGCTGGGGCTACAGGGAAACCCTGTCTCAAAAAGACCAAAAAAAAAAAAAAAAAAAAGAAATCAAAAAATATTTTAGCCAGGCATAATAGCACACACCTTTAGTCCCAGCACTCAGGAGGCAGAGGCACACAGATATCTATGAGACTGGGGTCAGCCTGGTCTACATAAAGTTCCAGGCCAGCTGGAGCTACAGGGAGACCCTGTCTCAAAAACAACAAAAGAAAACAACAAAATTCTAAGGCCTGTTACCAGCACAATTTTAACTAGACTAAAGGTTCATCAACTATAAAAGCCATGTTATTCACATAGCACAATGGTTCCTAGTTCCTAGAGTAAAAGCTTTAGTCAATACAAGTGGAAAAGTGTAAACAATACCAGAAAGCTGGCAAGCTCAGAGACTTTGTTTAAAGAGTGTCACTAATATAGAATCCTAGTCACCAATTTGGCCTTCTAAATACAAACACACATGAATGACTGTGGCTATTCAATTCTGAAGAATTTTGATGGAAAAAGCAATTTACCTTTTCTCCAATTAACATGATCCGGCAACCATTTTGTATTCTAAGTGCTGACAATGGTGTCTCCATTTCTTTTAGAGATTTTCCTGAAAAAAAGTAGAACAAATTGTAATGATACTTCAACACTGAAAATAGACATCAGTACACAAGAAAAAGACAAATGTATGATGAGAACTTGTCTCAAAAAGAACAATCATGTTCACTGGAGAAAAGAGGACAAATTGGTAAAACCTTTTAGAAAGTACCTTTATCTGGTAATGTCACTTCCAGACATCTATCTTAAACAAATAACTAGAAATGTACAATAACAATTATAAAATAATATTCAGGAATAGAGGATTAATAATTCATATAACACATACCTTTCTGTATAAGAAAAGGTTTGAGGGGCTAGAGAGATGGCTCAGTGGTTAAGAGCACTGGATGCTCTTGCAGAGAACCTGGGTTCAGTTTCCAACACCCACATAACTAACAACCATATGTAACTCCAGTTCCAGGGGATCCGACAGCCTCTTCTGTCCTCTGTGGGCATTGCATGACATGGATACACTTACCTACATGCAGGCAATACATGCATATACATAAAAATAATTTTAAAAATTAAAAAATAATAATAAAATATTTTTAAAAGATTTTGTAAATATGAAAGTTTATTTTTTCAGGATACTGTAATGTTACAATGACTGTTGATAAATGCTATAAGAAAGAAAATATAGAGTCTAGAAAGATGGCTCAGTGGTTATAAGCACTTGCTACTCTTCCAGAGGACCCAAGTTCAGGTTTCAGCACCCACATTGGGCAGCTCACCACCAGTAACCCCAGCTCCAGGGGATTCAAAGTCCTCTTCAGGACTCCATGGGCACAAACATACCAGGCACTCACACAGACACCTACACATAAATAAAATAAAAGTTAATTGTGAAAAAAGAAAGAACTTGGTGTAATGGTGCATGCCTTTAATCCTAGCACTTGGAAGGCAGAGGTAGGTGGACCTCTGTGAGATCAAGGTCAGCCTGGTCTACATAGGGAATTCCAAGCTAGCTGGGGCTAGAGGGAGACTATCTGAACATCCCCAACCCAGTCAAAAAAAGAAAATGTATACTGTATGAGCTGAGGATATAGGCAAATCTTGAAGTCTACCTGCCTTAGCCTCCTGGGTGACGGTTGAGAAGAGAGCAGTTGTGCCACCAGGCCCAGATCTCTCTTTAATACAGGACATCAGTTCTCAGCCCTATACATCAGGTGACATGGCAAGGTTTCAAAATCCAAGGCTGCCTGGGTAGCCCCATTCCAGGCCAGTTGTCCTGGGGATCTCTTGGCATGGTGCCTGGTCATCTGTGTAGGTTTAACGTTCTCTCAGGTGATTCTAACAAGCAGTGATGGTTAGGACTCACTCACCTGCAGATGCTTTGCATCTCTGTTCTGGCCCTTGTTTGGTCTATTTTTTGTTCAATTGTTTGAGACAGGGTCTCCCTGTAGCCCCAGTTGGCCTGGAACTTGCTAGTAGACCAGGCTGGCCTCAATTTCACAGAGATCTGCCTGCCTCTGCCTCCTGAGTGCTGGGATTAAAGGTGTGTACCACTGCATCCAGCTTAGCATAATTTTAATACTCTGCTTGCTTGTATTTTTTAAACATATAGTAATATTTTAAATTGAATTTATCTACAAAACCTCCATAAAATAAAAATAAATGCTCTCATAAAATCAAATCAGTCTTTAATTGTAATAATAAAAAATACATTTAAGTAATAGTGTCTCTGAGTTAATAGCTCCATAAAATAGAAGCTGGCCAGCCAGTCTCTGCTACCTGAATGGCTATTTCTCCAGCAGTTTTTTTTATGTTTCATTATTTTTATTTTATGTGTATGCATGCATTGCCTGTGTGTAGATGAGTGCACCCGTGTTGTGCAATGCCCGAGGAGGACAGAAGAGGCTGTTGGTTCCCCTGGAACTGGAGTTTTGGATACTTAGCTGCCATGTGGGTGCTGGGATTCAACCCTGGGTCTTCTGCAAGAACAGCCAGTATTCTTAACCACTGAGCCATCTCTCCAGCCCCTCATTAATAAATTCTTTACAATGACTGGCACCCAATGAGATAAATCTGCCCTATCATGGACCAGAATAATGGGTTTCTATGGGAGTGGGAAGAGAGAAGATAGAGGTAGGGAGAAGCTGATTCCTCAGAAATCAGCATTACCAGCATCATCCAATGCACTCTGCCTATTCAGCCCCTGTTAAGTTTGTTCAAAACTTTCTAAGTCAGCATAGTGCCAAGTACTGGAAACAGTAGTATCTCTGAGGTTATCCTAATAGAAATCAGATTTTTTTTTCTTTCTTTTTTTGGTATTTTTGAGACAGGGTCTCCCTGTAGACCCAGCTGGCCTGGAACTCACTATGCAGATGAGGCTAGCCTCGAACTCACAGAGATCCACCTGCCTCTGCCTCTCGAATACTCAAACAGAAATCAGATATTAAGCAACTGAAACATTTATTTAATAGTCATTTCAATAAAATTATGCAGAAGTGTGGCAGTATAACATGGACATACAATGGAGAAAGGATCTAGCCTAGCCAGAGAAGACTGCCCATATGTTTTTGTCAAAAAAGTTGAGATTTCTGTCATTGTGTACTTCAAATCTGATACCTGCCCAGATGTTTGAAAAGTCTAGCAGGTTCCTTAATAAATATTTGTTGAAGGAATGAATAAACAAAAACTGTTTCAGTTTGAAACTGGGTTATCATTAGGTAACACAAAGTATTTTTAAATCTGTCCTTTAGCCAGGAGTACTCAAAGGTGAAATGAGAAGCACTTACCCTTAAATATGAGCTTCTGAAAAGGCAGTGGAACCCCTGTGGCCTCCTCAACAGCCTGAGCCAGGTCTTGTACAGTTGGTTCACCATCACTCTGCTGTGGGGTAATAAGAAGGTCATGCTTTTCATTGCCTGGGGAGAAAGAAAAGCATCTGATGAAGATAGGTCCTTCACATAAAACCAAATATAGGCTGGTGCTTTTTCCTGGAGCTGAGGCTCTAATTGTGCTAGGGCTTGCTAGGGAAGTGCTCTGCTCCTGAGCTATGTCCCCAGCTAAGCTGACACTTTGTTACTTTTCATCCAGCCTTCCAGGACAAGCGCATATGCTACCTCTTACAAAACTTTCCTCTGGTGACTTGCTCAAGGATTTTTGTTTCCTCTATCATAAAAACTGTTAGTGATTTTAAGCATTTACACATTATGAGCTATACTAATTTCACACATTATCTTATTTAATTACCAGAAAGCAGGTACTACCTATTATTTCCTATTTCACAGATAAGCAAACTATGAGTTCAGTCTAATTAAAACTTCCTTATGGAGACCTTCAACTAATAGAGTCAGAATTTGACCTTAGAGCCAGTATATTCCAAAGCCCACACTTTTCATCACAAATTATCTGCCTCCTATGGCCTGACTGCTCTAACCTCTGCATGGCATTGGTCTTGTCTCACCTGCTCTATGGGCAATGGACTGTTTTCCTCCAACTCTTCTTTATTGAGCACACCTAGGCTGGTGCTTAGTAAACACAAATGAATGAATCCAATAAACAGCAGAGACATTTTCTGAAACACCGGTGCCAGTTCTTTTCTAGGAAGGTAAACCATCAAAAGGAAGCACGTGTCCAGCTTATTATACCAGGCCTTGAGCTCCCCACCAACCCAACATATCCCTGAGAAGTCAGCAGGAACATGAATTCCCAACTTTACTTCACAGACCAGAAACCAGATGCTGAAAGAGACATCCATCTCAAAATTGCTGGACCTAGAAATCCTGGTTTCCAGATTGTAATGTAGGTCTCCTAGATCATTCTAGGGAAACCTCATGGATTCAGCTTTCTTAGTATACTTCCCGGTGTTTAGTTCGGTGTCAACTCCACCAGGTCTCGAGGCCGACTGAAACTGCAGATATGTGGCATCGAACACAGAAAAGGCACTAAACTGGTAATGAATAACCCAGCAAGCCCCACGTTCAGACTCACCCACCATACAGGTATGTCCAAGCACACAGTAGTTCTACACACATGACCAAATACAAGCCCGACACGAAGACCTACAATAACTGTGCTGCAACACAATCAACTGCGCTCTCAAAAGGAGAATCCACAGACAAAAAGCACTAGCCACACACGGAAAGACGAGCTTGACACAAACCCCAGACAAAAGCCATCCCCACGGACACAGCCAAGAACCCGCACTTCCTTCCGCAGGGACAAACACCCAGCACAAGCTTCCGGGACACACGTGGCCCACAGATCCTACCCGACCCCTGGGGACCCATACAGCCCGGCGCTCACTGTGCGTGACGGTCACGCTGAGCCCGGCTGTGGTCATCTCCTCGGTCTGGGCCATCTCCTCCGGCAGGGCCATCGCCTCGAACTGGGTCACCTCCTCGGTCTGGGTCACCTCCTCGGACAGGGTCACCTCCTCGGTCTGAGTCGTCTCCTCGGCCAGGGTCACCTCCTTCGCCCGGATCACCTTGCTCCGGCTCACTTTCTTCCCCCTGGTCACCTCCTTGCTGCGGGTCACCTCGCTCTGAGCGGAGTGGCAACGGACTTTCTTCTTCAGCCGCGGCCTGCAAGCGCCCGAGGCGGCGGCGCCCCTGGTGGATCGGTCATGCCTACGGGCTGCACTGCGACCCGAGGAACGCTGAGAGGTGGGCGAGCCCCGCTCTGTCGGGGGTCCGACTGGCGCGGCTCCCGGCAGGGCCGAGGTGCGCGCAGCCAGGGTCCCAGCGGCTCCCGGTCACCTGGCGATCTCCCCGCGCCCCCGCGCTCCGCCAGGCCAGTGTTTGTTCACCGCCCAGCGGTGGCAGGTGAGCCCGGAGTCCTGCAGCCCCGCCCTCTGACTCTTGGGCCCCGCCCCGGCCTACTGGCCACGCCCTCGGAAGTGACTCACCTCCTCCCCGCTCTCCCGCCCCGCCCCATCCGCCCAAGCCTCCTCCAAGCTCCGCCCACTCAGCTAAGGCTTCGCCTCGCTCGCCGGAGCCCCGGGAGGAGGAGCTGAGAACCCGGAAAAAGGATCGGGAAAAACGCCAGCAAGCTCACTGCGCTTGCGTATGAGGGGGGCCGGAAACTGAAGCCGGAGCGGCTGCGCTTCCGTCTCTGGTTTTCCTTCAGTGTTTGGATTTCTTCGCCGCCCGCCAAGATGAATCGGTTCTTCGGGAAAGCGAAACCCAAGGCTCCGCCGCCCAGCCTGACTGACTGCATTGGCACGGTGGGCTTGACCTTGCATAACTAGACCCGAGGCCTCTGACACCCCGGCCCGCCCATCCCTGGCCGCGCTTTCCTACTCCACCCCATTCCTGATCCGGGCCCATTACACCTCAGTCTTCTCTATCTTCCCCTCTTTCCATCCCTGTTTCCCAGGTCATTCCTGACCCCACAAACCGGGGATCTCCTAACCTCATCACTACCTCACCTGTCCTGCACGAAACCCTTTCTGATGCCCATTGCTCTCGGCCCTGTCCCTTCGCTGTCTACTTGGTCCTCACACTGTTAACCGGCCCTAGGTTCTCTATACCCTTCGCTCCTCTTCTAACCTGAGCTTTTACAAACCTTTATCCGTTCCTCTTCCCCTCGCCCATGACTGGGCTCTTCCTCGGATATCCTAGGTTAACATATCTGTTACCTCAGTCCTGGATCTCAGCAAAAAATTCTGAACCTTGCCTCCCTCAGATTCAGCCACCACTCTGAACTCGGAAATGGCGTTGGATCTAATCTTAGCCAGTGTCCACTGGGCACTGGCTCATTTCATGTGCCTTCTTATTGAGTCCCCAGCCTGACTGGTCTCTCGTTTCAAGGAAATAGCCCAGTGATTCTTTTTTTTTTTTTTTTTGGTCTTTTTGAGACAGGGTCTCCCTGTAGCTCCAGCTGTCCTGGAACTCACGCTGGCCTTGAACTCACAGAGATCTGCCTGCCTCTGCCTCCCAAGTGCTGGGATTAAAGGCATGCACCACCAGGCCCAGCTGTCCAGTGATTCTTAAATATTCTTTTGAGGGGGACCGGGTATATCAGAATCTGGGGGATAAAAGAGTTTATGAAAGCCCCCAGTGTTTCTGGCTGGGACTCCCCATCCCTAAGTGAACCACTCTTTTCCATCTTTTTCTGTATGCTTCCCTTTTCTTCCTCTACGTTCCTTCCTCTCCTCTTGCCCCTTTCCCATGTAAATAATTTACAATAACTACCCCAGCATTTGGCATTTTCCCCCAAGGTGGATAGCAGGGCAGAATCCATTGACAAAAAGATTTCCCGACTGGATGCTGAGCTGGTGAAGTATAAAGATCAAATCAAGAAGATGAGAGAGGGTCCTGCCAAGGTAAGATTGGTGACAACTGATGTAGGAAGTACTGTGACAGCCCAATTTGATCATCTGTAGGGATGGGCAAAGGATACAGAAAAAAAATCACAAAGTCTGGAAAAGAGGAAATGCATTCGAGGTGTATCCTTTAGGAAAGAGAGAGACAACTAGATACCAGAGGGAGGCTGGAGTTCAATCTGGTAGAAAATGCTGATCCCCTATCCAGAAGCATGTAATAAGAATTGGCATAGTCCACTGAAAAGTTGGCACTCAGGAGCAGAGGGTTGGGTTGTGCTCAGAATCACAGTGTTGTTGGGCTGGTCAGATTAGGGTAGATATAATGTAGTGACATGATGAAAAAAAGTACTGAATTAGCATGTAGGACCAATGTTCTAATATTGTATCACTACTTACCCTGCAAGTCACTTATTTTCTGCTCCTGTTAAGTAGGGACAATATTGTGTTTGGGCCCATAGACTATGGATATATGGCTATCTGGTTTTTTTGTTTGTTTATTTGTCTTGTTTTTCAGCTTCATGACTTATTAATAATGTGAACCAGGGCATCATTGAACCTCATTTTTCTCATGTGTTAAATATAGTACATATTTTCTAGTGTGAGGATTAAATGAGATAACACCTGTCACCTACTTAGCACTAGAATATAGTAGTACTTAATAGGTAAGCATGAAGAGCTGTCAGAGAACAGAAACAAAGATTGGTGTAAAGGTTCTCAGCCTCCCAAGTGAGAGGTTAGAGGGTCCATTGTTAATTGTTTTCAATGTGAAGCTGTGAAAGGGGAGTTTGAACATGTTATATTTGAATTGGTAGCAACTGGAATTGAAGGTAACTAGATACAGAACTGTTTGGGGCTGGAAGTGGAAATGATGTGCATTAGGAAAAGGGAAAGATGTTCAGGGTACTAAGATGTGGGATGCAAAGACAGACAGGAGCTAAGGCTTAACAGTGGACATTAGATATCTGTGCTTTGAAGGGAGGAACAGAATCCAGGAACATCTGTGTACTATTTTGAAGAAGAAACCTAGTAGTATTTGAGTTTGAAGAAGACTCTTCTTTTGCCCTATGTATGTTTCCCCCTTTTTTATTAAGTCTGTTTTTCTCCTCAGAACATGGTCAAACAGAAAGCCCTGCGGGTTTTAAAGCAAAAGCGGATGTAAGTTATGTGCACAATCTCCTTTCTAAGAACAGTTTTAGCCAGAAAGGCAATAGTTTTCCGTTCTTTCAGATTTTCATGACATTCTCTAAGTGTTCTTGATTTAATTATGACTTCAAAAACTTTCAGTATCTAATGTTAATCATTTTAACTTTAGGTAGGCATATAGTACTAGTGACTATAATTTTGGCTGGCCAGGTCTATGAGGTTTGATTCTCTCATTACTGAGTTAGTATGCTTTGTTTGTTTTGTTTGTGAACTTAGGGATGCTAAGTATTTCTTCCCTCTCACCACAATAGATTTAAGGTCCTTAATCTGTTGTAGATTGTTGTGCCCTAGTGTATGTACAAAACCCAACTAATACCTGGTGCTTAGCCCTGTAGAATAATCAGCCAAGATGAACATCTATAGAATTGTAAAGGTCAGGCATAATCAGCTTGTAGGGAACCAGAGAAATTGTTGCTGTCTCTATTCCAATTTTACTTTTTTTTTTTAAATTTTATGTGTATGCATGTATTGCCTGCATGTAGGTAAGTGCACCAGTGTCATGCAATGCCTGCGGAGGTCAGAAGAGGCTGTCGGATCCCCTGGGACTGAAGTTACAGACAGTTGTTAGCTGCCATGTGGGTGCTGGGATTCAAACCCAGGTCATCTGCAAGAACACCAGTGTTTTTAACCACTGAGCCATCTCTCCAGCCCCTCTATTCCAATTCTAAAATGAGTAAATAACAATTGGATGCCGTTTTCCTTTTTTTTTTTTTTTTTTTAGTACATCACAAAGGGAAAAACAATAAAATGTAAAAATCAAAATATTACCTTTTTAATTTTTTTTTTTTTTTTTTTTTTTTTTTTTTTTTTTTTTTTTTTAGGTTAGACCACAGTGGGAAAAACTAATATGCCAAGATGTAACTATTACCTTCTTAATTAGTAGCAATGTGGTTTTAAAGTGTCTTGTTTTTCTTATAAGAAGAATACAAACTAAACATGGTGGACCAGGCCTGTGATCCTAGCCCTTGGAAGGTAGAAACGGGAGGATTAGGAGTTCCACATGATCTTTATTTACTTAGAAAATTTGAAGTTAGCCTGGGCTACATAAAACCCTGTCTCGAAAAATATAAATAAAAAAAAATAAAATGAGCTCAGTACGGTGAGTGGCACACCCTATAAACCTAGCACTAGGGAGGTAGAGGCAGGAGGATCAGAAGTTCAAGGCTACCCTTGGCTACAGAGTTAATTCCAAAGCCATTCTGGGCTATGTAAGACCTTTCCTCAAAAAAACAAAGTGAATACAGATTAATTGCAGAAACTTGGAAACTATATCAGCAAAAGAAAAGAAAATTTACCTAAATTAATTTTATTTTGCTTTTTTGAAACAGGGTCTCCTTGTAGCCCCTGCTGACCTGGAACTCACTATGTAGACCAGACTGGCTTTGATCTCACGGGGATTACCTGCCTTTGCCTCTGCCTTCCGAGCGCATCACCATGCCTGGCTTTACCTACATTCATAAAAAACTGAAATTATAATGTATCTCTTTAAGTTATCCTTTTCCACTTAAAACCATCCTTTTCTCCCCCATTTTTAGAGAGACTTGCTATGTTCCCCAGACTGCTGTCCAACTCATAATCCCTGTGCCTCATCCTCCCAAGTGCTGAGATTACAGGCATGGGCCATCACGCTAATTTAATGGCATCACCTGCCATTTGTCTGCACTATAAATTAGCCATTTATCTTCTGAGTTAGATGGTTTCCAAATATTGTATAAAGACCATGGTGACATAAGTCTTTGAAATAATACTATAATTTGATAGAAAACTTTATTTAAAAGAATAGTCATGGGCTAGAAAGATGACTCAGCAGGTAAGAGCACTGGCTGCTCTTGCACATGACCCAGGTTCGATTCCCAGCACCCACATGGCAGCTAAAAACCATCCCCAACCTCAGTTACAGGGGATCCATTGCCTTCTTAGGACCTCTGAGGCATTATGCAACACAGGTGCACTTACATGTAGGCAATACACTCATATGCATAAAATAAAAATAATAACTTTTTTTTTTTTTTTTTGGTCTTTTTGAGACAGGGTCTCCCTGTAGCCCCAGCTGTCCTGGAACTCACTATGTAGACCAGGCTGGCCTTAAACTCACAGAGATCCGCCTGCCTCTGCCTACCGAGTGCTGGGATTAAAGGCGTGCGCCACCATGCCTGGCTATAAATAATAAAATATTTTTTAAATAAAAGAATAGTCATGGGACTAGAGAGATGGCTCAGCAGTTAAGAGCACTGGCTGTTCTTATAGAGGATCTGGGTTTGGTTCACAGCACCCACATGGCAGCTAACAACCATCTGTAACTCCAGTTCCAGAGGATCCAAAGCTCTCTTTTGACCTCCACAACACAGGTGCACCTACCTACATGCAGGCAGTATACTCATAAAATAAATAAAATACTTTTAAAAAAGAATATTTTGAGGGGCTGGAAAGATGGCCTAGCAATTAAAGAGCACTGGCTGCTTGTGCAGAGGACCCAGTTTCAGTTCCCAGCACCTACATGTTGGCTAACAACTATCCATAGCTCCAGTTCCAGGGGACCCAACGACCTCTTCTGGCCTCCATGCATGCATGTGGTGCAGTTATATACATAAAGGCAAAATACTCATACATAAAATAAAAATAAATAAACTAATAAAATTTAAAAAATAGTTTTACTCTTTGCCCTAAGAGTTCCACTTCTTAGAATTCATCTTGGTAAATAATTATAAAGGTATAAATAAGATCTAATAAGATATGTAGGAAGATCAGGAGTGGTGACACACACCTGAAATACCAGCACTTGGGAAGAAGGGGCAGGAGGATCACTGTGATTTTGAGGCTACCCTGAACTATGTAGCAAGACCCTTTCTCACAAAGTAGAAAAAAGGCCAGGCATGGTAGTGCACCCCTTCAACCCCAGGACTGGGAGGCAGAGGTAGGTGGATCTCTGTGAGGTAGGGGCCAGCCTGGTTTATATAGTGAATTCCAGGCCAGCAAGGGCTACAAGGAGACCCTGTATTAAAAAGGTAAAATTTTTAAAAAAAGAAAGGAAAGGAAAGAAAAATATACGTAGTAGCAGTGCAGAAAAGAGAAGCAAATGCTTCATTATTAAGTAGGAAGTGGTTATAAATCAGATACATGCAAAAGGAAAAACAGAAGGAGGTTTTTTGATTTTTATTTTATGTGTATGAGTGTATTGCCTGCATGTATGTGAGCGCACCTGTGTCATGCAATGCCGTAGAGGTCAGAAGAGGCTTCATATTCCCCTGGAACTGGAGTTAAGGACGGTTTGTAGCCACTATGTGGGTGCTGGGAATTGAACCCGGGTCCTCTGCAAGAGCAGTGCTCTTAACCACTGAGCCATCTCTCTAGCCCCCAGAAGGTGATTTTTAAAGAGGTTAATTTTAAAAGGGTTTTGGTCTTTTTTTAAGAACATTCTCTCATTTAATGTTAGGACTGCTTTCTTCCTAAAGATTTCTATGTAGCTCACATTTACAATTCTCACTTGACTCCAAAAAGGTATGAGCAGCAGCGAGACAACCTTGCCCAGCAGTCCTTTAACATGGAACAAGCCAATTATACCATCCAGTCACTGAAGGACACCAAGACCACGGTACTCCCAAAGCACCTTTTCCCATTTGAATGTTTTTACTCTGATGTACTTTCCCATGGTCTTCTAAAGACAGTTTAACAAACATTGCTGCTTCTTTTTAAAGTCTTTTTGAGACAGGATCTCCTGTATCCCCAGCTGTCCTGGAACTCACTATATAGACCAGGCTGGCCTTGAACTCACAGAGATCCGCCTGCCTCTGCCTCCCGAGTGCTGGGATTAAAGGCGTGCGCCACCACGCCCAGCCTGGAACATTACTTTTTTTAAAAAAGATTTATTATTTTTATTTTATGTGTATGTGTGCATTGCCGGCATGTATGGAAGTGCACCCGTGTCGTGCAGTGCCCTCAGAGGTCAGAAGAGGGCATCAGATCCCCTAGAACTGGAGTTACAGACAGTTGTTGGCTGCCATGTGGGTGCTGGGATCTGAACCCAGGTCTTCTGCAAGAACATTCAGTGTTCTTAACCGCTGAGCCATCTCTCTAGCCCAGAACATCACTTTTTAACACATTGTAGTTTCTGGGCTGGGAATGTAACACAGCAGTCGAATAGTTGCCTAGCATGTGGGAAGGCCTGGCTGGGTTCAAATACTCAGCACTTGAAAATAAATAAGTAAGCCAAGCATGGTGGTGCACACCTTTAATCACAACAGAGGCAGTCGGATCTCTGTGAGATCAAGTTCCAGGCCACCCTGTCTCAAAAAAAAAATCAGTCAATCAATCAATTAATGAACAAATACATGCATGAATGAATAATAAATAAACAGATAAAGGCATTGTGCTTTCTTATGCCTTTCTTTAGGTTGATGCCATGAAACTGGGAGTGAAGGAAATGAAGAAAGCCTATAAGCTAGTGAAAATCGACCAGATTGAGGTAAGGGGTGTATTGGCCTTTGAAAGATGTACACTTGATGGTGCCAGGTTGGAAATGAGCATGTGCATGCTGAGAAGAGCTCAGAAAGGGATGGAATCCGGGCCTGCTCCTTGCTAACAGATGACCTTAAGAAGGAGAGCTGCCTGTGATCCTAATACCACACTTGGTTGTATTGCAGATGGAGTGAATGAGCAGCCTGTCTGCATTCAGTGTCTTTCTCAGTTGCAGCAGCTCCTGGTTAATTTCTAACTCAATGAGTTTTAGTCTGTTTCCTCAATTATAAAGTAATAGGTGCAGCCTATCTCCCAGTATTGTCACTTTTGTTGTTGAGATAAGAGCTTGCTATGTAGCACAGGCTGGCCTTGAACTTAGAATCTTTTGCTAGGATTAAAGGAATGTACAACATTTTTGGGGGTCTTTTTTTTTTTTTTTTTTTTTTAATGAGACAAGGTCTTCCTGTAGCCCCAGTTGGCTTGGAACTCGCTATGTAGACCAGGCTGGCCAAGAACTCAACAACGATCTGCCTGCCTCTGCCTCCCAAGTGCTGGGATTAAAGGCATGCATGTGCCACCAGGCCCAGCTCTCACAAATGTTAAATGAAGATACATAGGTATGGTGCTTAGCACAATTTCTGACAGAGTTACTATTCTTTTCTAGTAATTTTCTTTACATTTTAATAATGTTACTAGCTTTTTTAAATACTTTTATATATTTTATGTGTATCAGTGTTTTGTCTGCATGTATGTAAGTATACCACTTGCATTCAGCACCCATGGAGACCAGAAGAGGGTGTCAGATCCTCTGGAGTCAGAGTTATAGTTATGAGCCACCATGCGTGTGCTAGGAATTGAACCTGGGTTCTCTGCAAGAGCAGCTCTTAGCTGTTAAGCCATCTTTCCAGGCTCCCCGCCCCACTTAAAATCGTTCTTTATATCCTTTTTTTTAAAAATATTTTATTATTTTTATTTTATGTGTATAAGTGTATTGCCTGCATGTATGTGAGTGTACCCCTGTCGTGCAATGCCGCAGAGGCCAGAAGAGGGCGTTGGATTCCCCTGGAACTGGAGTTAAGGACAGTTAGTAAGCCACCATGTGGGTGCTGGGAATTGAACCCGGGTCCTCTGCCAGAGCAGTCAGTGCTCTTAACTGCTGAGCCATCTCTCCAGCCCCTTTAACACATTAAGACATCTATGTTTTTAGCTTAGTGCTTCTGTTTGTTTATGATGGTCTTGTTTATGTAGTATTGATTTGTATCAATTTTTAAAATATTTTATATATTTTTTTTTAATGTGTGAGTGTATTGCCTGCATGTATGGAAGTATACCTGTGTCATGCAGTGTCCATGGAGGTCAGAAAAGGGTGGTAGATCCCCTGGAACTAGAGTTACAGAGGGTTATTAGTTGCCATGTGGGTGCTAGGAATTGAACCCAGGTCCTCTGCAAGAGCAGCCAGTGTTCTTGACTGCTAAGCCATCTCTCCAGCCCTGGTTTATATCAATTTAAAAATAGATTAACCTTGCCGGGCCTGGTGGCGCACACCTATAATCCCAGCACTCAGGAGGCAGAGGCAGGTGGATCTCTGTGAGTCCGAGGCCAGCCTGGTCTACATAGCGAATCCAGGCCAGCTAGGGCTACAGGGAGACCCTGTCTCAAAAAGACCAAAAAAATAAATTAAATAAATAAAGACAGATTAACCTGATAATACTTTGTGTGGTGACTTTTTTTTCCCCTCTTATCTATACTAGAATCTGTTGCTAGAAATCCTGTTCATGGGCTCAGCATGGTGATTGCATGCCTGGAATCTCAGGATTAGGAAGACAGATGCAGGAGAATCATGAGTTCAAGGCCAGCTAAGGCCATATAGTAAGACCCTATTCAATAAACACACACAAAAGAGATCTTATTCATAAGATGATTTGGGGAGACTTGTTTTTTTGACATTCTCTTGCTATGTAGTTCTGACTTGCCTAGAATCCTCCTGTCTTGGCCTCAAAGTACTAGGAATTCTATGCCTGGCTAGGGAGACTTCTTGATATATAATAGTATAAACTTGACTTGATAACTTAGTTCTTATTTTAGTCAGTGTTTCTTTGTCCAGCAGAGGTATATGTGACCAATATGGTATTTTAGCACTCAGAAACGCAGATAAGCAAAGATTTTCTTTAAATTTTTTTCTTTCCATTTTTCTTCTTACTTTTTCCACTTTTTATATGAAAAAAACAAGCTGGCAGGCCAGGAAGGGCTTTACAAATGGCTTTCATTGCTTTAGAAATTCTGAAGGCTAACATGGTATTGAGTTGGACCTGCTGCATTTTGAATAGTGGTGTCATCTACTCTGTGTGGAAGGCAGGATATGAAGAACATACTGTTGTTTGGCTCTCTCTGTCTCTGTGCGTGCGTGCGTGCGTGTGTGTGCGTGCGTGTGTGTGTGTGTGCGTGCGTGTGTGTGTGTGTGTGTGTGTGTGTGTGTGTGAGTGTGTGAGTGTGTGTGTGTGAGTGATTGGAGACTGAACATGGAGCCTTGTGCATGCTATATGCCAGGCAAGTGCTATGCCACTGGTGTATAGCCTCAGACCTTTTTTCACTTTTCTAAAATTTATTTAGTTTTTGAAACAGGATCTCAAAACATTTTTTTGGTCTTTTTGAGACAGGGCCTCCCTGTAGCCCCAGCTGTCCTGGAACTCACTATGTAGACCAGGCTGGCCTTGAACTCACAGAGTTCCGCCTGCCTCTGCCTCCCGAGTGCTAGAATTAAAGGCATGCGCCACCATGCCCAGCTTAATCTTTTTAAGACAGGGTTTCCCTGTAGTCTCAGCTAGGCTGGCACTCGCTATGTAGACCAGGCTGGCCTTGAACTCAGGATCCATCTGCCTCTGCCTCCTGAGTGCTGGGACTACAGGTGTGCACCACCACTTCTGGCTAGAAATCTATTTTTTTAAAAATGAAAATCTTGTCATTGAAACCTGTTTCTAGGACCCCTACCTTCAGGGAGCTGCTGTTCTACTTCTCAATAAAACTGCCTGCTAGCACTTCAAAAAAGAAAGAGGAGGGTCTGAGGAGATGGCTCAGCAGTTAAGAGCTCTTAATGCTCTTGCAGAGGACTAGAGTTCAGTTCCCATAACCAGCTATAACTCTAGCTCCAGGAGATCTGTTACCCTCTTCTGGTCTCTGCAGGCATCCACATACCATACACATGCACATAGACACACACACACACACAGGCATGCACCATATGTATATAAATAAATCTAAAAGAAATAAAGAAGACTCTGTCATACATATTTCTGTAGGATTTACAAGACCAGCTGGAAGATATGATGGAAGACGCAAATGAAATCCAAGAAGCACTGAGTCGCAGCTACGGCACCCCAGAACTAGATGAAGATGACCTAGAAGCAGGTAAGTTGTAAGTGGTGTACATTTAATTTTAGAACCTGAAAGAAGCAACTGCCTGGGACCTTTGCCCAAATGCTGGTTAAAATTTCTGTCAGGATTCCATAGAGTTAGTTTATGGTACAGTCTCTAGGCAAGAGCCAATGAAGCAACTGTATCAGACGTGCATCCTCCACCATCACCAGGGGGTGGAGAAACTCTGAAGGAAGGTGTGGGCAGAGGCTCGCCTTGTGCTTGATGTCTGGATCTTCGACTTGCCCTTCCCCTGTTCTTTTTCTTTTGATTTGATATTTTTATGGTACTGAAGTTTAAACCCCATAGGATAGATTTAGCATTGAGGTAAACCCTATGTTTATTTTATTTTTTATTACATTATTGACTTATTTGTGAAAGGGAGGACCTGGGTGTGCCATAGCATGTGTTTGGTGGTCAGAAGACAGCTTATGGGAATCAGTTCTCTCCTTCCACCATGTGAATCTAAGAGTTTGGACTCATGTTGCCAGGCCATTATACACTGATCTATCTTACCAACTCAATCCGTGCATTCATTGATTGATTGATTGATTGATTGATTGATTGATTGATTGATTAGTTTTGTTTTGTTTTGGTCTTTTTGAGACAGGGTAACCTTGTCTTAAGTTTGGGACTCAGTAAGCCTGCTGGGAAATGGCTGATTTGTTTATTTTATTTTTCATTAGATGTTACATACTAGTTTCCTTTAAAATTTCTTTTTCTTTTCTTTTTTTTTTTTTTTTTTTGAAACAGGATCTCCCTGTAGCCCCAGCTGGCCTGGAACTCACTATGTAAACCAGGCTGGCCTTGAACTCACAGAGATCCTCCTGCCTCTGCTTCCTGAGTGCTGGGATTAAAGGCATGCACCACCCATGCCCAGCTACCTTGAAAATTTCTTACATGGTCATCTTTTATTTTCCCTTTCCCCATGCAAGTGGATCTCTGTGAGTTCTAGGCCAGCCTGGTCTACATAGCAAGTTCCAGGCCAGCCAAGGCTACATAGTGTGACCCTGTGTCAAAAATTTTTTTTAGTTTTAATTTAATTTTCAATTTAAATTTTTATCTTGTTACAAATAATTTGACTAACTTTAAAATATTCATTTTTTTAAATATTTTATTTATTATTTTTATTTTACATGTATGAGTGTATTGCCTGCATGTATGTGAGTGCACCCATGTTGTGCAGTTCCGCAGAGGTCAGAAGAAGGGGTTGGATTCCCCTGGAACTGGAGTTAAGGACAGTTCGTAGCCGCCATTTGGGTGCTGGGAATCAAACCCGGGTCCTCTGCAAGAGCAGTCAGTGATCTTAACCACTGAGCCATCTCTCCAGCCCCTCATTATTTTTATTTTATGTGTATGAATATATTGCCTGCTTATAAGTGCACCCATGTCACACAGTGCCCAAGGTCAGACAAAGGCATCAGATCCCTTGGAACTGGAGTTACAGGTTACAGTTAGCTGCCATGAGGGTGCTCGGAACCAAACCTAGGTCCTCTGCAAGGGCAGCCAGTGCTCTTGACCACTGAGCCATCTCTCCAAGGCCCTTGGCTAACTTTTTAACATGAGCTGCCAATTTTCTTTTTACATTTTTTTATTTTATTTATTATTTTTATTTTATGTGTATGAGTGTATTGCCTGCATGTATGTGAGTGCATCCATGTCATGCAATGCTACGGAGGTCAGAAAAGGGCTTCGGATTCTCCTGGAACTGGAGTTAAGGACAATTCGCAGCTGTATGTGGGTGCTGGGAATCAAACCCAGGTCCTCTGCAAGAACAGTCAGTGCTCTTAACGGCTGAGCCATCTCTCCAGCCCTTTCTACATTTTTTAAATGTAGCCTATTTAATTTCAGAGTTGGATGCACTGGGTGACGAGCTCCTGGCTGATGAAGATAGTTCTTACTTAGATGAAGCAGCATCTGCACCTGCAATTCCAGAAGGTGTTCCCACTGACACGAAAAACAAGGTGAATGTCTTTTCTGCTTTCATACAACATCCTAAAGGCTTTATATCCACCAATCTGGAAATCTAAAGTAAAATCTTAAGTTAAAAGCAGACCTGGTCATTATTTTAGGAGCCCTTGACAGTGAATAAGCTACATAAATAATGCTACTGAAGCTAAGGAGGGTTGGCAGTACTGAGGCTCAAACCTTGGGCCTCATGCATGCTGGGCAAGCAAGCACTCCACCACTGAACTATAGCCTAACACTGTTCACTTCTTGAAACTGGGTCTTAAAAGTTGCCCAGCTGGCCTTAAACTCAGTCTATAGCTTTCCTAGGAAAGCATTGCCAACACATGTATGAGCTTTGGTTACTGGAAGTGTTGGGTTTTTTTTGGTTGATGGTTCTTGTGGTGCTAGGAATTGAACCTAAGGCTTCACATGTGTTAGCCAAGAGCTATACCACCGAGCTATATTCCCAGACTTTTTTTTTTAATTTTTTTTTATTAATTAGTTAATTAGTTTAGAGGCAGGTATCCTTTAACTCCTGGGTTCAAGCTTAATCCTTCAACCTTAGTGTCCCAAGTAGCTGGGCCTACTACTGTACCTGGCTTTTGGGTAATAGTATTAAAGAGAGTCCCACTGGTTCATTATTGGGTAGGTGATGGATGGATGGATGGATAGATGATAGTAATTCCAATATAAAACATAATGTAAGGCTGGAGATACAGCTCAGTTGAGAGTATCTCATATACCTGTAATCCCAGCACTTGGGAGACAGGAGGATCAGAAATTCAAAGCCATTCTTAGCTGTATAGTGAGCTGGAGGCCAGCCTGAGATACATGAGACTCTGTTCAGAAAACAAAACAAAAAAGAGCCATTAATATAGAAAGATTCTTGTTCAATAAGGGAAGAGAATCAGGATTTCTGACACTGTGACAGATCACTTAGCTGTGTTGAGCTTTTCTGTTCCTTCCATATGTAGAGTTGCTCACAGTTGTTTAAAGCAGCATAGATCTTATTTATAAAGGACTTTGCAAACTTAAAATTTGTCATAATATTGTTATTATAAATAGAAATTTTTACTGCTTATAAAATTTCACTTACTGGCCAGCCGTGGTGGCACACGCCTGTAGTCCCAGCACTCAGGAGGCAGAGGCAGGCAGATCTCTGTGAGTTCAAGGCCAGACTGGTCTACATAGTGAGTCCTGGGCCAGCTGGAGCTACAGGGAGAGCCTGTTTCAAAAAGACCAAAAAAAAAAAGAAAGAAATCTCACTTACTGGGAATCTTAGTTCCCAGTGTAATGTGTTCTTTTTTTATTGCCCCTGGATTTTTATAGCTTTAGTTTTGTTTGATTATCCCATATGTACATTAAGTAGACACAGTACAGCTGACAAAATGTTTGGGCAGGATCCAGGCTAGATCTCCCTTTATACTGTATAATTTTAAGCAAATTGAGAAATTTATGTCTTCTTTCAGAACTTCCTCAATTTCTCTTTCTACAAAATGTGAGGAGCAAAAGGACAGAAATAGGTAGCTTCATAAGTCCTTCACAGATGACACCTGTGAATGTTCTCTGCGCCCTCCCCTTTCTCCCTTGAGCTTAGAGTAGCAAGGGGCTACAGGGAGACCCTGTCTCAAAGAAACAAAAATAAAAATTGTCCTGAAATGATTTTTGTGAGCACTATTATAGCTTGCCTTTTCAGTTTCCTAGCAACAAGTCCCTGAAGTATCTGTTATTTCCACATAGGACCTCACACATGCTAGGCAAGTATTCTAGCACTGTGCTGGCTCTCCAGCTATTTTCACCTTTAGAAGGACAAGGATCTAAATGTGCTGTGAAGATGGATCTAACTGATAGTAGTATTCCAGCCTGTGTTCAGTAGTAAAGCATGATGCAGGAAATGACTGCCTATCTGAGACACTTCCTCTTCAAGGATTTGCAAGTCTATAGAAAGATATTAACCACTTAAGAGATCAAACTGAAAAGCTGTATCTAGAGGCTAGGAATCCCCCCCCAACCACCTTCCCCTCTTTCTGAGTTTTAGTCTCACACTTACCTTCCTCTTCCTCTCTTTACTCTGCAAAGGGCCTCCCCTTTTATTGCTTTTGGGTTCTTTTTCTGGTCATCATGCCCCCTTTTATCCTCCATGAAATAGCTCATTGTCAACTTCTGAATGGGTTTTGGTTCTGATTGATTAAACACATTTTTATCAAGTGGAAATACAACACTAACCCTTGGTTCTTCTTCACAGGATGGAGTCCTGGTGGATGAGTTTGGGTTGCCGCAGATCCCTGCTTCATAGACATCAGCATTCCGGTTCATCATATGAAATAAATACATATTCTGGGACTGGAAGTACTCCGTATTTGCCAAACAGATTTAGGTTTCTTTCTTTTCTTTAAAGGAAAAGTTAATAACACTGCTCCTTTATTTTTATCTTTCCGTTAAGAAACTCAGTGCTTTGGGGAAGCTTTCTTTTACTAAAATTCGATTCTTTTTCTCTTAGGAAAAACTAAGCACCTTTGACTTCGTATGGCTTGTTTTCATTCATTAACGATAATTTGAAATAAAACCAAGGAGATAAGAATGTTTAAGTTCTATGGTAGTATAACCCTGCAGTCTCAGTATGACTTGATAAACTGATAGGGTGAAGATGAAATTATCGAGACTGTTCATTAGTCCCAGCACTTAGGAGGCAGAGGCAGGTAGATCTCTGTGAGATTGAGGACAGCCAGGTCTACATTGCGAATTCCAGGCCAGCTGTGGCTGCAGGGAGACCCTGTCTCAAAAGACCAAAAAACAAAACAAAAAAAAAAAAAAAAAAAAAAAAAAAAAAAAAAAGGAAGATAAAGAAGAAACAAACAAAAAACATTGTCTCTTGTGGTATTATAGGTGAGTTAAAATGATGGCCTTTTTTGATAGATTTTGTTGTGTCATGTGAGCAAGTCAGTACTGTGTCTAAGTTGGAATGAATTGTCACTACTGTATCATGACTTGATATTTGATTCCATGGATCCCTCAGTATTATAGCCTGACTTTAATGAATAATGAATATTTCTTGATATTTAATGTATAGGACATTTATTTATACTCAATAAATATTTTTCAAAAGGATACAATTTTAGTATCACTTCAGCCTAAAACCTCCACTATAGAAGCCAAACTTAACCAGTAGCACTGTGATGTAGAAGAAAGAGCAAAGAACCATCTGGGCTTGGGCCTGGGGTCTACCATCTATTAACTGCTGTTTCTAATAAGTGAATCTGTGCTTACCTCACAAAGCTTTCATGAGCAATTGAGGAACTAGTCATAAGTACCTAGTTAACTTTGATGTGCTATTCTCCTACGAGGGAATAATAATAAAAAAACAAGATTTCATTCTTTGCTTGTGAAGTACCTAAATTGATACATATATAGCAAGTCCAACTGCTGCCTGATTTCAGAATATTCAGTGATCCTCTCTGTGAGGGTTAATCTTGTCAGTTTGATGACACTCAGAATGACCTAGGAGACAAGCTTCCAAGCATACCTGTGATTATCTAAATAAGGTGGAAGACCCACCTTAACTGTGAGTGGCCGCATTCCATGGGATGGGGTCCTGGGCCAAATAGAAAGGCAAAAGTGATCTGAGCCCAAGCATTCATTACTTTCTGCTTCCTGAGTCTGAATGCATGTGACCAGCTGCCTCAAGCTTCTGCCACCATGACATCCCTGCTTGATGAACTGAACCCTCCAGCTTTGAGTTTAAATAAACCCTTCCTTCCTTCAGTTGCTTCTGAAGTATTCTGTCACAGCAACCAGACCAGTAGCTAATACATTCTTTCTTTCTCACCCAGCCTATTCCCCCTTCAGCCTAGCTTGGAAATTCATGTCATGTGTACCAGTTTTCCATATGTCCACCAGTGCTGGGATTAAAGACGTGCACCACCACGCCTGGCTTACAATGCCAATTTTAATGGGTGTCATTTGACTCTCCACATATACCACATTAGTCCACCAGAGAGCAATCTTTCTACCTAAATCTTCAATCTGTTGACTTTGTCACTGTACTCTTGTTTCTCCCATTCTCTGATTGTTTTCCTGAAATCTTAGTCTCTCCAACCCTGTCATGTTACTTTTGGAATTCAAGTTTTAACCCCCTCGCTTGTATTTAGTTATTTCAGCTATCCTTACCACCTTCGCTGCCCACTTCCAAACCCATACTTCTATCCCTGGATCTCTCCCAAGTTTCAGAATCCCACTTACAGCCAGCTCTTTGTCTGACAGTTATTTGGATGTTCCAGATTGCTACATCACCTCATAGTCACATGACCAAGATAGCACATCACCTTTCCCTAACCCCAAATCTCCTATTTCCCTGTTTCAGCTAGTAAAACCATTATCCTGTCATTCCGAATAGAATGCTGTAGAATGATCCCTGATTCCTACATTTTACTTCATCTTACATATCCAATAATCATTAAGCCTTGCTTTTTATCAAATTTTTATTTTGCGAGGGGAGTGACAGTATGCATGCACATGCCACAGCATGTACATGTGGAGGTCAGAGGACAACTTGCAGGAGTCCTCTCCCTCCACCATATGGGTTCCAGGGACTGAACTTAGGTCATGAGATTTGATTGACAGCAAACATCTTTGCCAAGCCAGACCCCGAGCTTTGAGTTTGGCCTCTACATGTTTCTCAAGTCCATTTCCCTTCTCAGTTCTCATTGTCCTAGATAGCTCTCAACATAATCTTTTGCAATAAATTACTTGCTTTCTCTGTGTGCACATTTCATTTCTTTGAGTCTGCTTATCACAACTAATCTTTCTGAAATACATATCTGACTTAGAACTATTAATAGATCCCTGACCCCTATAACTGGGTATAAAAGCTATGACCTGGCTCCTGCCCATCTGTAAGGGTTTATTACTTAGTTTGTCTTCTCTGAAGGAATTGCTTCTCCCTTTAACCATGTGATTACTGTGAAAATGCCAGTTAAAAGTGCCCTGTCCTTACTCTTCCTATGGGAGAGCTATGGTGGTGCATGTGACTAGCCCATTCCTATCAGCCCATCCCTCAATTCCTCCATACAGAAAGCTGTGGAAATTTGCTTTTTTTTTTTTTTTAAATTAAACTCTGTCATATGAGAAGCCTGAGAGAGAAGAGCCAAGATGAACAGCCAAAGAGAATCATCATGGCGTGATCCTTGAGGTTCCCAGTGTCTGGCTGTCTATAGCTCTTCCTTTGATTCTTTGAGCTGTCTTGGATTCCTGCCAGTAAACCTCCTTTCTTGTGTGTACTAGTCAGATTGCCTGTCACCAGGAGGTGTCCCAAATAATTCCTCTGCAGCCTCTGTGAGTGCCTTACTTTCCACTGTTAACGCACTAATAACTAGTCTGTGTCTAAGTCCCCATTGCTCCCCATCCACCATGCAGTCTTGATTCTGTGCCTCTGCTCACACAGGCCTATAGGGAACTTCCTTCATGCCTCTGTTCTGACAGTCTGCTCATTCTTCTGAAATTGAAAGGCCAAAGAGCAGGCCTTGCTCTGTGTCAATCCCAGCAAGCATAAAAAGGATGAATCCAACCGGGTGTGGTGGTGCATACCTTTAATCCCAGCACTTGGGAGGCAGAGGCAGGCAGATCTCTGTGAGTTCAAGGCCAGCCTGGTCTACATAGTGAGTTCGGCTGGCCTTGAACTCACAGAGATCCACCTGCCTCTGCCTCCCAAGTGCTGGGACTACGGGCGTGCGCCACCACGCCTGGCTCTAGAATTTTTTTTAAAAGCATTCTGGGGAAATGGCTTAGCAGTCAAGAGCACCAGCTGCTCCTGCAGAGGACCTGGGTTCAGTTCCCCGGAACCCACATGGCAGCTACCAACCATCTGTTAACTCCAGTTCTGGGGATAACCAATACCATCTTCTGACCTCCACAGGCATTGTACAACATGGGTGCACTTACTTACATGTAGGCAATACACGAATACACATAAAAATAATAAATAAAAATTTTTAAAAAGACATGGTCTCATTTAATCCAGTCTATCCTCAAACTCACTATGTAGCCAAGAACGACCTTGAACTTCTGATCCTCCTGAGTCCTGGGATTATAAGTGTGCACTACTACACCCAGTTTATTTGGTGCTGGGGATCAAAGCACTCTTCAAACTGAACCACAGTCCTACCCCTACCACTTGAATTTTTTTATTTTTATTTTATGTGTATGAGTATATTGCCTGCATGTATGTGAGTGCACCCATGTCGTGCAATGCTGTGGAGGTCAGAAGAGGGATTCAGATTCCCCTGGAACTGGAGTTAAGGACAGTTCATAGCCGCCATATGGGTGCTGAGAATCAAACCCGGGTCCTCTGCAAGAGCAGTCAGTGCTTTTAACCGCTGAGCCATCCCTCCAAGCCCATACTTGAATTTTTTAAAGCTTCCCAGATCTTAGCACTGTCCTGGGAAGTCTGATGAGTCTGAGCCAGTTTTTCATAGACATTCTGGGTTATTATCATCAATTTATACAGCTCAGGTGTAGTTAACAATTGACCCAAGGCATAGTTTCTCACCCATATCCCCATGGTTAGTTGGGAAGTACCCTCTTCTATTTTTTGGAAGAATTTATGAATGATCAGTGTTTACTGTTTGAACAATTGGTAGAATTCACCATTGAAACCATCAGGACCTGGGCCTTTTGTTTGTAAGGTTTTTGTTTGGATCTGAGAGGTCTCCCTGTAGCCACAGCTGGCCTGGAACTTGCCATGTAAACTAGGCTGGCCTCCATCTCACAGGGATTCACCTGCCTCTGCCGCTCAAGTGCTGGGATTAAAAGCCTATGCCACCATGTCAACTTATATTTTTTTTAAAGCCTGGACTTTTAAAAAAAAAGCTTTTTGAAGGGCTAGAGAGATAGTTCAGCAGTTAAGAGCACTAGCTGCTCTTCCAGAGGACCTGGGTTCAATTCTCAGCACTCACATAGCAGCTCACAACCATCTGTAATTCCAGTTCCAGGGAATCTGAGGCCCTCTTCTGGCCTCCATGGGCACTGCATGCACATGTGTACTTACATGTAGGCAAAACACTCATACACATAAAAAAAATAAATTTTTTAAAGAGCTTTTTCATTTTTATTCATTTTTGAGACAAAATCTTGCCCTGTAACTCAGGCTGGCCTCAAATTTCTGAGTTCATGGATTACAGCTGTGCATCACCATATCTGGCATTACTATTTTTTATTAAGAAATTAGTTGAGGGGCTGGATAGATGGATCAGCAGTTAGTAGCACTTGCTGTCTTGCAGAGGACCTGGGTTGGATTCCCAGCACCCACATGGTGGCTTACAACTTCCTGTAACTCTAGTTCCAGGGAATCCAATGTCTTCTGGCCTTGGGCATTAGCATGCACATGGTATCCATACATATATGCAGGTTCTCACACATACACATAAAATAAATCTTTAAAAAAAATTAGGAGCCGGGTGTGGTGGCGCACGCCTTTGATCCCAGCACTAGGGAGGCAGAGGCAGGAGGATCTCTGTGAGTTCAAGGCCAGCCTGGTCTACACAGTGAGCTCCAGGACAGCTGGGGCTACAGGGAGACCCTGTCTCAAAAAGACCAAAAATAAAAAAAAAATAGGGATTTGGCATATAGCTCAGTGGCAGAGTATTTTCCTAGCATGTGCAAAGCCCTAGGTTCAATCTTGATAAAATATTAAATATTTTTTATTTTATGTGTATAAGTGTATTGCCTGCATGTATGTAAATGCACCCGTGTGACATAATGCCCTTGGAGGTCAGAAGAGGACGTTAGATCCTCTGGAACTGGAGTTACAGATGATTGTTAGCTGCCATGTGGGTGCTGGGAATCAAACCTGGGTCCTCTGCAAAAGCAGTCAGTGCTCTTAACCACTGAACCATCTTTTTTATTTTATGTGTATAAGTGTATTGCCTGCATGTATGTAAATGCACCCGTGTGACATAATGCCCTTGGAGGTCAGAAGAGGACGTTAGATCCTCTGGAACTGGAGTTACAGATGATTGTTAGCTGCCATGTGGGTGCTGGGAATCAAACCTGGGTCCTCTGCAAAAGCAGTCAGTGCTCTTAACCACTGAACCATCTCTCCAGCCCCCATGTTT